TTTCATTCCTTATTACATGAATTTGAGCTTTTTCTTCCCTTTTTAAAATAAGGTTGCCTGGGGGCTTATCAATTTTATTTATTCATTCAAAGAACCAACTCATTGATTCTTAGATTGTTTTCTTAGTCTCTATTGCATTGATTTCTGCTCTTTTATAATTTTCTCTCTTCTTTTCGCTTTGGCCTTGACTTGCTCTTCTTTTTGTAGATGTTTGAGGTGTTACATCAGGTTTTTTCTTTGTACTCATTCTGTTTTCCTGCTGTGGGAAGTCAATGCAATAAATTTTCCTCTGAGGACAGCTTTCATTGCATCCCACAGATTCCGGTAAGTTGTATTTGTGTTTTCGTTTGCTTGTAGGTATTGTTTAATTTGTTCTTTAATTTCCTCTGTGACCCACTGATTACTCAAGTGTGTTATTCAGTTTCCATGTATTTGTGGCATTTTTGCAGTACCTTTATCATTAATTTCTAATTTCATAGCGCTATGATTCGATAACATGCAAGGGATAATTTCAACTCATTTGCATTTGTTTAAATATGTTCTGTGAGCTAAGATATGGTCTATATTGCAGAATGATCACGTACTGCCTAGAAGAATGTGTATTCTGACGCTGTTGGATGGAACACTCTGTAAATGTCTATCAAGTCCGTTTGTTCACAGATGTGATTCAGTTGTTATTTCTTTTGCTGATTTTCTGTCTGGTTGATCTGTCTCCTGGTGTCAATAATGTGTTAAGATCTCCTGTTAGAATTGTGTTACTGCTAATTTGGCTTTTCATTTCTGTTAATACTTGTTTTATATAACTGGGTGCTCTGGAATTTGGTGGATATATATTTAGATAGTTATCTCTTCCTCTTGAAGTTTTCTCCTAACCAGTATGTAGTGTCCTTCTTTTTGTCTTCTGATCATTATTGAAGTTCACATTGTGTGCAAACAGAATAGCTACCCCTGCTTTTTTGGGGTTCCTGTTGCATGAAATATTGTTTTCCATCCTTTGGCTTTCAGTCTGTGAGTATTCTTTTGGGTTTCTTGTAGACAGCTTATGGTTGAATTTTGTTTCTTGATCCATTCTACCATTTATATTAATGGTTATAACTGTTATATGTTAGTTTATTGTTATCTTTCTGCTGGTGCATCTTTATCTTTCTGTTCTGTTTGTCTGCTTTGTTCAGTGGTTATTTCCTTAGTGTATCTAAACTGTCTTTCAGTATTCTTTCCAGGGTTGGCTTGGTGATCATGAAGTTCTTCAGCTGTCCTTTGTCATGGAAGTATCTATCTTATTTCTCCACTGATTTTGAAGGACAGCTTTGCAGGGTACATTGGCCTAGGTTGGAAATCTTTTTCCTTTAGGATCTGAAATACTTTACTCCTTGCTCTTCTTGAATTTATTGTTTGTGCTGAGAAGTCTGCTGTAATTCTGATAGGTTTTCCTTTATAGGTGATCTGTCTTTGCTCTCTGATGACTTTTAATATTTTATTCTTTTGTTGGATGTCTGGGTGTAGTTTTATTTTGATTATGGATATTTGGAGTTCTGTATGCTTCACTGATCCTGATATCAGTTTCCAACCTCATGTTTGGGAAAGTTTTAGCTATTACTTTTCTAAATATTCTCTTGCCATCCTTTACGTTTTCTCCTTCTTTTTCATTTATCCCTATCAAACTTATGTTGTTTTTCTTTGCATCATCTTCCAGTTGTTGAATTATTTCCTGATTTCCTGTTATTTTTAAAAGATTTTTCCTTTCCTGTTCACTGGCTGCAATCTTGTCTTCTAGGTCTGAAATTCTATCTTCAGTTTCATTGAGGCAGTTTTTAGAACTTTCAATGAAATTTTTGATTTCCTGTGTATCTCTTTGCATCTGCTTTGTATATTCTGTTTGTTTCTTTTATTGTTCATCCAGGGATTCTTTTTGTTTAATTCCTCCAATTTTTAAAACTGTGTCTTCTTTAGATATGTTCAGCATTTCCTTTTTTTATCATTTCTTCTTTTACCTGGGATATCATTTCTAGTTTGAATTCCTTTAAAGCTCTGTGGACTTGCTTCTTTATTTCAGTTACTATTATTTCAGGCATATTGCATGTATTTTCTTCTATGTACATGGCTCCTAGGTTTTCTTTCGATGGGCTGGAGGTTTGAGATTCCATTTTGGTCTTTTATTTTTTCATTTGCGTATATCTCTGTGTTTCAAGTGTTGTTCCGAAGCTTCCTCTTGGGCTTGTTGGAAATTGTTTCCTATGTCCTGGGCTCCTAGGACTCCTCTGATAGCTTTGCTCCCTGCTTGCAAGCGAGGCCGATGGATTAAAAGAAAGTTGCTAGGCTCCTCTCAGGTAGGTCTAAAGCCTCCTCAAGCTGCACAGTTTCCTCCTCTGGTAGCAAAGCTCCTCTGAGGGAAAGAAGGCCACCTGGTGTGGTCAAGGCAGGCCCAAATCTTGCTAAGCCCAATCTAGTGTTGCCACAAGCCCAGCGGCCCCCCACCCCCTACAGCAAGGATCTCATACTCTCCCGGGGATTGGATGTTGTGTAACCATCTACCTCCTTGGATGGAAAAGCTCCCCAGGCTGATAGAAGGTCACCCCTAAGGCCTAGGTAGGCCTCAAACCTCCTCAGCAGGGCTGCTCCCTCCTCCAGGGAGTGGCAGTAGTGCTGGTGCTCTCCAGGTCAAAAGAAGGTTGCAGGCAAGGCCGGAGCTGGCTCAGCCCATCTCCCTCCTCCATGTGGGTCAGCTGTGCTGTGCCCTCCAGGTGACAAAAGAAGGTCAGCAAGGCTGGAGCAGGTTCCCAAGGTTTGGCCCAACTCCCTCCTCTAGGCAGGGCAGCTGGGGTGTGCCCTCCAGGTGAGAGAAGGTGGTCAGCAAGCTTAGCAAGTAATTTAAACCCTTCATTAGATTTATGTTTTAATACGATTATGAGATTATAGATGTGTATCTTTAACTTTATAAGAAAACTGTCACACCTTTTTAAAGCAAGGGTTTACATTCACTAAAGGTAGGGAGAGAAATATGCTGCAGGGTGAGAGCAGGTGACTGAAGCCAGAGAGAGCACAGTGGTCTCCCAACCTGTTCTGTAGTGTGGTTGTCCCATTTTTATTTCCAGCAGCAATATATGAGAGCACTAGTTACTCCCCTCTTGCAACACAGCTACTGTCAGTTTTTTGCCAACTTGCCAAAATTTCTCCTTGAGTACCTCTCTGTGACTGGCAGGATAGATTACTTATCTCACACCATCACACTGAATGTTCTTTCATCTACATTTCATTTTTCTCAATGTCACCTGTGCTTCAGGCCACAGTTTTCTAAGCATTTCCTAACAGCTGGCTGGAAGCAGAAAGGCAGAAATGGAGGGGTGTGGCAGGGAAGAGCTGCTCCTCTCTCTGCAGCCAGAAAGAGAGAATATGAAGGAGCCAGAAGGGAAGGGGCCAGGATCACATGTAATGTTTAAAGCCATGCTCCTAATGACCTGCTTCATTCAATTATATACCTCCCCTAGTAAACCCACTCAGCTTCCAAACTTATCTATACACTGATCCACATGAAGTCAGAGTCTTCATGATCCCAGTCATGTTTCCAAAAGCTCCACCCTCTGCTGAACATGTGTCTTTTGGGGACATCTTAGATCAGTGATGGCAAATACTGTAGAAACCAGTGTCCAACTGCAACCCCAAGCCCACTTACGTATTGCAAAGCAGCAACATTGCAATTAAACCTGAATGCTAAGGTTTTAATTTGGAAAAAGCAACTCATGCATTAACATCTTTTGTGTAAAAGAAAAACAACACCTGTGCTATGGTTTGGCCACCACTGTTTTATATCAATCTGTAACAGCATTAATCTTTAGGCCAAGCAGGGATTTGTAGGAGACAGATGTAACAAGAGTGGAGGGATTATACTAGAGAGTGCTAGTGAGGGAAATAAGAATAGAAAATACTTGAACTTCAGGCCACGGTCGATGCTTGAGTAGGAAGTGAACCAGCTTTTAGGAAGGTAATGGGGCAGCGGTATGTAGGAAAGATTTCTGTGAAAGCCTGGTGCAGTTAGGTTGTGGGAATGGAGAGAATGACACAGCTGAGAGAGCTTAAAATCGACGTGGTTTGGGGAGATGCTGTGTTGAATGTGAGGACCACAGAGCAGGGCTGGCAGACTTTGGGGGAGTCAGTCAGAGAAAGGAGTGAGCCGAGGGGAGCCAGTTTACAGGAGTTGTGTAGACTGCATTTGGACATGGCAGCCAGCAGTTCAGGGAAGCAGTAGGAAGTAGATGAAGGAGCCCCCCGCAGGGAGGGCTGTGAAGCCCAGGGCAGGGCAGGGTGGAGGGAGACCTGAAGGGCCTGGCCCTGGCTGTGGTGTGAGGAGGAATATTTAGGTTGCAGGGAGAAGCCCCAGAAAGGAAGGTTTCCTGTGGACTTAGATGATGTGAAAGCATGAAACTACCTCTGAGTTTGGTCAAGGGATGGAGACCTATTTTTTTCTGCTTCCCTGGTTTAAGGAATGAGAAACAGGGGATGAGGCAGGAAAAGACATCACACACATTTCAGCTGCTTCCAGGAGAAGAAAATGAGACAATAGGTTAAAGTGGAATAAATGAAAGCTATTCAGGATAATTAAGAGGGCACAACACGGAACTGGTAAGGAGGGAGACGTGGAAGGGTGCTGGAGACTCCACAGGACCATCAGTGGAGATGCTTGAGAGCGACAGTTGTGTGGCTGCCTCTGCTTCACTAGTCACCTGTGTGGGAGGTGTTTCCGCCCCTCATAAAGAGGCTAAGAAGTCTTTCACTTTTAAGTCACCTTCTTTCCCAGAGGAAGACAAGCAGTTCCTTCCAGCAGGTTCCTCCCAGCTGTCCTCACTGTGGCAGTGGAGGTGCAAATGGATTTAGCTAATTCTCTGATCTCTGCATCCATACCTACAGATTTCAAACTGGGCTTCCTTTGACTCCTCACTGAATCATTTGTTGTTTTATCTGTACTGAAGACACATTCTAATATAGTATTAACATGAAGCAGCATATCGATATCTAATATATATTTTTATTATAGAGAAAATTTTACAAAGAATCAGCAGTGGCTTTAGCCAGGCTAAATTAAATAATCCAGCACAGCACAGAGGAGGGAAAGTACATACAATCTGTGTCAGGGATAGAAATCCCTGAAAGAGGTACCTGAGTAGAACTCCCAGTGAATTCTCTTAGAGGAGACCTGTTAGGCATAGCATGTGATAGATCAGTGAACATCAAATAAAATCTTTCTGTACAGCCCGAAATATGTTTTATCTGTGTGGCAAAAGGCTTCTTGTGGAGGACATTTGCCTTCCTTCTCTTGTCTCTTTTTATTCTAAGTCCCATTGGGACTCATAGATCCCATGGGAGAAAAGCTAAGTTTCAGAGGCCAATCAGAAACCCCAGGTTGGGGTAACCCTCATGCCCCCACAGCCTCTTGTGGCCCTCATTCCTACGGGGCAGTTTCCCAGGTTGTAAACAAAGCTATCAGCAGGAGCCTATGATTCCCTTTAGAGAGCTCCTACTTTCCAAGGGTCAAACACACCCTTGCAGAGACCAAGGTTTCCTGAGACACTAGGGCAGACAGGTAGAGAATGCCCAGGCAGCAACATGGAATGGAAAGACAGCTGGTCTGACGTGTTTGGAAACTGACTCAGGTCTGTGTCTGGCATGAATGAGCAAAGCTTCTTCTTATTTTTTCTTTGAAGTCTTTGACAAAAAAGCCTTGAAAGGCTCTAGCCAAGGAAGCTGAGGGATTTTGGTGGCTTCCTATATAACAAGGTGGTCAGATCAGCTTACCAGCTAAGTAAAAATAACCCTTTTCATAGAAATAAGCAGTTGCAAAATTTAAAGTGGTAGAATGTCTCAGAAAAGGGAAAAATCATATGTCTCCAGTTGTGCATTCATTGCCAATAATTTTAAATATTGAATGATGAACAACTCTGTTCTCTTCCTGAGTTTCCAGCAACTGCATCTCTTCAAAGTTGAATTGCCCTGTGTTATACATAAAGAACTGGTAGTCAACTTAATACCAGCTGAATTAAATAAGCATGGTGCTGAGTGTAGATGGCCCACCTGAGGAAAGTTGCCAGCATAAATAGAGATGTGGAGAAGAAAAGTGTGGTGTTGTGGGTTCTCCTAAGTGTTGCTTTTCGATCCATTGGTTCTCCTGGAGGAGCTCATCATGACTAGCTTACCCAGTGTGAGTTCAACCATTACTATCAGAGGAGCTTGGTGTTTATTGGTGAGAGTGGCTGTGGTTCACTTTGGGGGAGCTCTGGTCCTTACATTGAGCATCTCTTCCTGGCTCCAGAGGGGAAGATGTGTGCTGTTTAATATCCAGGAGAAACTTGTCATGCTGGCTTTCTGGCATGTACTTGACTGTTATTACAGCAGAGAAACTCAGGACCCTGGTGTCACTGAGGATGGCTGCAGTACTTTTCAGGGCACACCTGAACCCTGTTTAGAGTGTGACATGTTAGCTCCAGCATAGAACCTCCAACCTACCAATACAACTCCTTCACCCCGCTTACATAGAGATTGTAGTTTCCGCTGCTGACCTTTGGGCCTATCCAGCGCAAATATGTGAGACTGGTGTTGAGTCCTTCTCAAGGGCTTTGGACCTCCATGTAGACTCATGGGAGGCATTGTCATGGGCTCCAGGTCTTCAGCTGGTGGCACGCAGGACATTGTTGTTGGATCCAGGACTTTGCCTGAATATTCTAGGTCTTTAGTGCTACAGACATATTTCCTGCACTTTCTTGTGCTTAATTTGACTATCATAAAATAATATTATAAATCCTGTGCCCTGATTGTAATTGCTCTCCTTACAATCTGTGACTATAACACTCCAAACCCTCAGAGGTGTTAAAGATCTATGTGCACTTTCCATTGAGAGTTACCTGTGAAGGTTTGCAAATCATTTCCCCAGTTGTTTTTAGTGGATTCTCTGGAGACAGGCTTGCCAAGGGACTTAGGTGGTATTCTAGCAAAGCAGCAAGATGTTTAGACCCCGTGCCAGGAAACAAAAGCTTAGAATTTCCCAGGACACTACTGGTTGTTTATCTGACTTACTTGAGCATGGCAGGTTCACATGTAAATTTGGAGAGAAAGGAAAAGCCATTATTGACTTTACTTGCTGTCTCCCCCCCCCCCCCATTCTTTTTCTTCCTCTTTTTTTTCTGGCACACACAATTATGTAGAAAAGGAAATAACCCTCAAATGATGGCAAGTTCAATTACAGTCTGATAGGACAGAAGTGGGATGGAAGGAAATCAATATGCTCTGAATAAATAACTTTAAAACAAATCTAGAGTGGGCAAAAGGGAGCAGCAGGGAATTTGTTTCAAAATCGGCTTTGCCAGCTTTCAGTGACAAGGAAGTTGGGTTTCCTACAGATTCCCCGGATGTACCTTTTCATTTATTGACATTGGATGGAGGCCTTGCAGCCTGGAGATGCTGCACGTGGGAAGACAAGAGTAGGGGGCTGATTTTCTTTTTCCTCCAAGTGTAAAGAAATCTCCAGGGAGGCCATGGAGTAGGTCAGCAGTGCTGTGACAGGATAGGTGCCATCACTTCTTTTTCACTTCTGAATAAACTGTTTTTGTTACTGTGGGGACCGGGGAGTGTGAAGTTGGCTGCAGGTTATTGAAGTTCAGGGAAGAATATGCAATTTCACCCACCTGTAACGTACAAGCAGCCTTCAATTAAATTGGTATCACGATTCTAGGGGCATGATTCCGCCCACTGTTTTATCACCTCATTGAAACATTTAGCTTTGGAAAAGGGCTGTTCTCTACTTGCTGAGATGGTGGTGAATGGTCCTTTGAAGGGATAAATTATGGTGATGATGCGATACAGTGGAATATGGTAATAGAGCAGTGAGGAGGAACAAATCACAGACACATGCAACATGGGCGAATCTCATAAAACAACACTGACTGAAAGATCACAGGTGCCTACCAGGGCGTGCTGTTAGGATCGTGGTCATGGCTTGTAGTGAAGAGACTGGAAAGATTCTTTTGGTGGGTAGACACAGAGTGTCTTGATTAGGGTGATGTTTTCATGTGTGTGTCCATCTTGTGAAAGTTCACACCCTGTAACCTTATTCTTATGATGTACATATTTTTTTTATATTTCATTGAATGGTTAAGGTGAAAAAATTGCGATGAAATTGTTATAAAATAAAGCAATAAATACTCCATATTCAGTAGAATGGAAATTATCCTTTGACAGGAAGAGCAGGACCACACTGTAGGTAGATAAAGGAGGGGGATGTGGTGACTTCCTTGTTTTGGGCATTGTACTGGGTGCACTTTAATCTCCTTGTGAACAAAACTGAGGACTAAAGAAATGATGTTATGTGTTAGGGGTTACAGAGCTAATTGTCTTCATAGCTAAGAGTTACACATAGCCACGGTGTTATAAGTCCAATGTCCACATCCTTGCTGTGAGGTAGACTCATGGAAGGGATTAACCAATCCTTCTTCACTGCTATATCGAGGCACTTAGGCCTAAGCTTGATCTCACGTCCGTGTCTTCAGGAGCAACCCATTCTCCCCAGAAACATTTCCATGAGAAAATGAGCCAGGGAGCCTGGCTGTACTTACCTTGTCAGGAGACTTATCAGAGGGGCCTGGTCCTGGGGAAGCAAAAGCAGAGTTACCCCTCTGTGGAAGTGTAAAGCTGATTTAAGGCCTTATGATTTAGCAGGAGGAGGTAGCAGATGGTGGTTGTTAGCGGGTCTGGGGATGAACCTCATGATCACTTGGGGGATTTCTTCCCTCAGAATCTGTGGCCCAGACTGAGGGCATTAGAACCAGATGAGGGGTGAATAGTAGAGACACAGGAGACCTCCAGGCACCTCTGAAGATTTCTACTGGTTCACAAGACCTCAATCCTGTCCCCCACCTTGTGTTTCTTAGCAACATGCTCCAGTGGCAGGGAGGGGCAGTGAGGGCCCATAGCACCAGAGCACCCAGGAGCCAAGGAAAGTCTCACCGAGGAGAGGGCCCACATGCATAATAGAGGTAACAGAGAAGGAGTAAAGGTGACGAAATGGCTCCTGGTGCCTGCCTAGCTCAGGTGGTGTGAGCTTCTCTCCAGTCTTTGACTCAGGGGATTCTTGTGACTAGGAAGGGTTTAAGGAGCTGTGTCATCCTGGGGCAGGGAAGTGGAGAACAATTCAGAGTGGGGACAGTAGTTGGTGAATCTAGGGTTCTCTGCTAGTTGTAGGGCACGTGGTCGAACATGCCCATTCTAATTGGGTGAGTGGCTTTACTTACTGTGATGAGAGACTGAGGGTTTGTGCTCTGTGAGATCATTCTGGTTACTCTTCCTAAAAAAGATATGAGACAGTGTGACTGCTATTCCCATGTGCAGGGCCTTTGGTCCCTGGCTTTGGAGGGACACTGGCAGCAGATAATTCCTTGACACTCCCTGATGTCAATTCCTTTTACAACTGGCATTGTCTGTTCTCTTAGCCCTCATTCTTCATGTTCACCATAATTCCTGCCTCCTCCCTTCCTGTTTCCAGATGTCCACTTTACAGCTCTTTTCCCCAGTGCTGGAATCCAACCCAGGGAAATGCTGCTGAGCTACATCCTTTACCGTGTAGGTTTAGTCTTTATTGACCCTTCTGCGCCTCCTTCACCTTTGTATCTCTCCTATTTTATTTTGCATAGGAAGAGTTTGTTTCTCCCCTCGTATTTTATTTATTGGCCACAGTATTTTGATTTTTTATACTTTCTCTTGAATTCCCTTCCTCCCTCCTCCTGCTACTGTGACCAACAGAGTAAATCACTTACTGGCTCTGCCTCTGGCCCTGGCTCTGCCTCTGCCGGCTCCGTCGGTTTCACTTCACCTTCACCCTCGGGTTGCGCACTGGAGGGATAGAGGAACATAACTGGATCTGTTTCTTGAAGCATAGATGAGAAACACCATACCCAAGAGACAGTGGAATGGAATACAGGGAACATGAGGACAGGAGCAGGAAGACCCACTGAGCAGCAGGAGTTCAGGAACGTGAAGAGGAGATACAGGTCCAAGACAGAGGGATAAAAGCGATATCCCTCTCCTAAGCATGGCAGAGAGACTTCGAGGAAATGGAGGAAGTGGAAAGGGCATCATACCCGCCAGACTTGCTGAAAACCATGGTATACGCCAGGGCACATATCAGAATCAGCACAGCTAGAGCTAAAATCATAATGGCAATAGTGGGAACCGTTGAGGCCTTAGTGGGCGTGGTGTCTGGTTTTGCTGGCTTATCTGTTATGGAAAGAAAAGAGAAAAGGCAATGAAAGTGAAACTGCTTTCTAGTGGGATGCCTTGAGACACAATTCTTAACATGATGCAGCTCTATTTATTCCTTGGACAAGTACACGTCTTATGGAAAGGGTTTCGGTGAGGTGATTGGCAGGTTTTGTAATCTGCACCCCCTAACTGGTGATTTATCTACCCACAGTTCCATCCTGGCCTTTGTGCAGGTGTCTGAAGGCTTCAGAAATGTGAGGAAGGCTGATTGTTATTTCTGTATGTTGTAACTTTCTATCGTTTGTGGTTCCATCTGTTTTCACAGGGTTCTGTTTGAGCTGGCCACAAATACGTGCCTATCAGCTCTTCAGCTCTCTTGTGGCAAGGGCTTACTTGACAGCAGGCTCAGGTTATAGCACATTCAGAATTCATCACCTCCTTTGCATAGAGACCACACTTTCCACCACGGTTAGCAGGGACGTAAAGAAGCCCAGGTCTGCAGGACACAGCTTTCCTCTGCTGGGAGACTTTGGCTCGCGAACTCTCCCTCAGCCTTGTGCAAACTTCTGAGACCTAACTGCACTGCCGTCTCTACACACAGATGAGAACTGCACTGTGATCTGAGGGCTCTCCCGGGCTCCCTCTCTTAGGTAGATATTATGTCCATTTTATGGATGCCACTTTGGGCTTAGAGTGCTGAAAAGCTTACTTACCTTCGTATGGCTAACACGAAGCATATCTGGCTGCCTGACTTCAAGACTAATAATAATAGTAGTAGTAATAGCAGATAATACTTATGGAAATTTTTCTCTGCCTGTGCCATTTTCCTGAATAGCGGGCTATTACATGAAGTAGTTAGAACAATACTGTCTTAATTACTTTTTACTGGTTACTGAGATGAAATACCTATTGTCCAAAGTTAAGAAAGCAAAGGTTTATTTCTTACAGTTTTTTGGAGGTTTTAGTTTATGTTCAGTTGGCTCCAAGGCAGGTGTCATGGTGGGACCGCAGTTCATGGCAACTGCAAACAGCAAGGTGGAAACTGGCAAGAGAGAGAAATACAACTTCTTCCTGCCATTACACTGTATGCTGGCTCCAACTCCTAGGTGGGTGTAGCACTGACACCATCCATCCAAGTGCTAGACAACGAAGCAATCACAAATGCATGATGGAAACGCGTGAGGACTAGGGGCCACCAATATAAACCATGACAGACACTGTGAAGCAGGTACTTTTATTATGATTCACATTTGGGTTATCTGAGTCTCAGATATATTAAGAATCCTACACAAGACACTCATAGCTGTAGTTGCTTACATTTAAAAAACATGATCCCAATTTAACAAAATCAAATAGGAATTAGGGATATAGAAAAATAATAAACTAACATGAAAACTAGTGGAAAGAAGACAATTAAGCTCAGGATAAACATAAATAAAATAGAACAGAAAAACAGCCAACAAAAATCAATGAAACCAGAAGTTGGTTCTTCAAAAAAGATGTTTAAAGCTGACAACCTTAAAGCGGTTTAACTAAGAAATAGGAAGTTTCAAATTACTAACACTAGAAGTGAAATAGACATTATCAATGCTTCAGCATAATAAGCATTTTAAGTGTACTGTGAATAATTTTATAACAACAATTTGTTAACACAGGTGGAATGGGCAATTTCCTAGAAGCACAAAGAATCATGAAGGAATAGAACATAAAGATAGATCTGAATCTGGGAAAGCATTTGTTAAAATTTATGTAAAAAAAAAAAAAACAGAAAAAACTCAAACTAGGCTAGGTACCATAGCAAACACCTGTAATCTCAGCTCTTATGGAGGCTGAAGCAGGAATGTTGTAAATTCAAGGCTAAAGCTGACAACTTAGCAAGATCCTGTCTGAAAAAAAATTAAAACCAGAAATTTAGTTCAGTGGTAGAAACCCTCTGGGTTCTATCATCTGTACAGGAAAACAAATAAAACTAAGAAAAGGAAACAAATTGAGCAACAAACTGGGAATAGAAAAAAGTAAAAGACCTTGTATGAAAAACTCACAGTGAACATCAGAGTTAGTGGTGAAGGACTAAAAATTTCCCCACTAAGATTAGGAACAATACAGATACCAACATTTAATTCTATTCAATATAGAATTAGACTCTAGCAAGAGCAAGGCAAGAAAAAGAAAGACATCTAAATTAGAAAGAAGTTAACTTATGTCCATTTCCAAATGGCAACTTACAGATAGAAAATTGTACTCCCAAACTGTTATGATTAATAAACAAATTCAACTTTACTGGCAAATGAAATCAAATACAAAACTCAGTTCTATTTCTATATGTTAACCGTGAGCAATATAATAGGAAAGTTTTAGAAATCTTTTTGTAGGAGTATCCAAGGCTGGAAGGAGAGAGAACAGCCAAGCAGGGGGAATCCTTTCTAGCCTTGCCTGCTGCCTTTCCAGCCGGAGGAGCACACCACAGCTGCCGGCCGGAAGGAGGGAGCTAGGCCGAGGCGCTGGAACCTGCTCCGGCCTCTTTGCGATCTTCTTTTGATCTGGAGAGCACCAGCATTACTGACACGGCCTGGAGGAGGGAGCAGCCCTGATGAGGAGGTTTGAGGCCTACTTAGGCCATAGGGGGACCCTCTATCAGCCTGGGAGCTTTGCCATCCAAGGATCTGGATGACTACACAACATCCAATCCCTGGGAGAGTATGAGATCCTGGCTTTAGGGGGTTGGGGGTCCACTGGGCTTGCAGCCACACTAGATTGAGACTAGCAGGATTTGGGAATGCCTGGACCACACCAGGTGGCCTTCTTTCCCTCAGGGGAGCTTTGCTACCAGAGGGGGAAACTGTGCAGCTTGAGGAGGCTTTAGTTCTACCTGAGAGGAGCCTGGTAATCCTCTTTTAACCCACGGGCTCCGCTGCCCAAGGAGGGAGCTTCATTAACAGAGGAGTCCTAAGAGCCCAGGTCATAAGAGACAATTTCCAACACGCCCAGTGTAAACTCTGGAACAACACTTGAAACACGGAAATATAGGAAAATGACAAAACGAAAGACCAAAATGCAATCTCAAACATCCAGCCCATCCCAAGATAGCCTAGGAGCCATATACATAGAATAAAATATATGCCATATACCTGAAATACCTGAAACAATAGTAACTGAAATAAAGAAGCAACTGCAGGAAGCCTTAAAGGAATTCAAACTAGAAATAATCTCTCAGGTAAGACAAGAAATGATAAAAGAAATGAAGGAGATGCTGAACATATCTAAAGAAGACACAGTTAAAAAATTGGAGGAACTAAACAAAAAGATAGAATCACTGGATGAACAATATAAGAAACAAACAGAATATATAAAACAGATGCAAAGAGATATACAGGAAATCAAAAATTGCATTGAAAGTTGAAAAACCTGACTTCCGGTAGAACATGGTGGACAGATAGCAGCAGCTATGGAGGCTCTCTGAAAGACTCAGCTTATAATTCAGGAATGGTGCTGAGTAAGGAATCATAAGCAGGAGGACATATGCTCCGGTGACCCAAGAACGAACTGGGCTGAGAGAAACCAACTTGGAATGCAATCCTGGTGCTATAACAGGAACAGAAAAGCCTCAGTGTGGAAGCTGGAGCCCACACCATTGGAAGCCACGATTTGGATTTCCCGCCACGTGGCGGCTGCGTCTACATTGGCTCAGCAGGGAGAGAGACGCACGGAAGCTCTGAGAATGGGAATCGGAGAACGGAGTTGAAAACAGGACAGGCGGGGAGCTGTGCATTGACTTGTGGTGAGGTGAGTGAGAGAAACTGACTCTCTTCCACAGTTTAGGAGACTCCAGCGGAGGACATTCTGGGACTGGGCAGACTTGCGGGAGCGGGGCGCTGCAGCGACTTCAGCCACGTATCCCCCTCTCAAGCGGAATTGGTGAGAAGTGCCTAGCCTACGTGACGCTGCTGGCTGAGACCCAGTAGGCTAGCAAAACCCAGATCCCAGAGCCTGAGGGTGGCCTGGAGGGCCAGCCCCCCGTAGGCTGCCTGGTCTGCAACTTCCTGGTGTGCTGCGGTGGGCGGGAACACCTAGCCGGCGCAATTCAATCAGGCTGTGGCTGACAAGGAGGGAAGCTGGGCCTCCTATACACGCTTGCATATATAAGGAACAAAGAATATGGGAAGAGGGAGCAACAAGAAAGGCCTTTTGGCCCCCAATCCTGAGAAACAGGCAATAGCAGTCACCGCACCAATAGACATAAAGCGCCATCTAGAGAGCCTCATAGATGAGTTCAGGAATGAAGTTATTAATGACCTGAAGCTAGAAATAAGCAGAATAGTTAGAGAAATGCTAAGCACCACCCAAGAAAAAACAGATGGTGGAATGGAAGAACAGAAAAAGAGGGGAGAAATGTTTGATGGAGAAAATAGAGAAAGCATAGAATATGTGAAGCAGGTTCAAAGAGACTACCGGGAAACAAAAAACTCTATCAAAAACTGGCATAACAGCTTGAAAGAAACTAAGGACAGACTATCTGAACTGGAGGGCATATTTGTAATATGGGAGAATGAAATGAAAAACTTCTTAAAAGTAACAAAGAAACAAACAGCAATAATACAAAGACTATAAGATGATAAGAGCATCCATAATTTAAGAATTAAGAACATAAAAGAAGAAGTAGGGACACAAACAAATGAACTACAAAAGCTACTCACAGAAATAATCCAGGAGAATTTTCCTAATTTAGCAAAAGGTAAAGATACTCAGTTATATAAAGCATACAGGACCCCAGCCACCTACAACCCAAACAGAACAACACCCAGGCATATAATAATAAAAATTCCAGAAATCCAATACAAGAACAGAATATTAAAAGCTGTCAGAGACGACAAAACAGACCACTTACAAGGGAACACCCATCAGAATTAGAGCAGATTTCTCTGCACAAACCATCAAATCACGAAGAGCGTGGGGGGAAATAATTCAAGCTTTGAAAGATAATAATCTCCAGCCAAGATTGATATATCCTGCACAAC